ATGGAGATTTTTTCACCGTGTGTCAGATTTTCTGAGGGGCTATAGAAAATACTTTCCTTCACCAGCTGGCTGTGTTTTGTTAAATCTCACTGGTCAGACGAATGAAGACTTTTAAGTGACTAATTCCCAGACAAACTGGATGACTTTTAACACTCTCTCAGTGGTTTTACGTAACATACAATCTCAACTCTTGGATTTTGTGGGTAGAGGAAACAGATGTGAAGCACGTGCTGCAGTTCACATCAGCAGTGCAAAGCATGGAATCTGCTTTGTACACAGTGTGGATACTGCTAATCGGGACTTGTGAGCTTAGATGGAGAGGCAGGTACCTATAATGAAATGCACATGGATGAAATACCTCAAAGAACTTCCAATACTGTAAATAACTACTCCTTCCAGTTACGTAGTAACTCAAATCTCAGTTCAAGCCTGACAACACAGATAGATAGCCCCGGATCTACCTAGGATTTTGACCGGTAAATATTGCAGGTATTTTTTTCTGTATAGTTGTCCTAATATTTTCAGCATGTGTGCAGTCACCTAAAATACCAGTTTTATTTTCAGGCTGCACAGGAAAAAGAAGCGCTTCAACGTGAAGGTGATGATTTAGATGCAAAGATCTGCAAAGCTGAAAAAGAAATTGTAGCTCTGGAAAACACTTTGTGTGTACTTAATAACTGCAATAGCAATTACCAAAACTCTTTCAAGGAAGTCACTGAGACAAGTATGTAAAATAGAAATTGATATTTGCTGTGTGAGTTACAGATGATGGTATAACTCAGGTATATAGTAGGGAAATTCCATGGCACAAAAGAATGAATCACAGAGACTAAACTGATAGTAGCAAAAGGGAATGTAATTCACATGCTACTGTGAATAGTTCAGCAGAATAAGCACAGAAGGAAGTGCAGTAAGGTGTAATTAACTAATATTTATGTTCTTACATCTGATTTATGTGAAAATCTCTAAACCTATATAAATTTTGTGAATAGTCCTAAGTAGGAACATCCAGAAGAGGCAAAGCACAAAGACAATACTGGGGGGAAAAAAGTCATTACTGGGAGAAAGGAGTGCCCACTGAAGTACATAGGTCTAGTGGATAAAACTTTGCACAGTACAGAAAACACTACATTCTCTACACACGCTAATTCAAATTACAGAAGCAGAACAAGCTGTGCCACTGCTGGCCTTCTCGTGGTAGACTGAGCCAGCCAGCCAACCAGTACCCAGAGCAACTATATAGGCAGCTTAGGTACATGTACTCTGATGAAGATCAATCCCTTAGCTTCATCATCTCTGATTTCACATGGAAGGGGGAAAAAAAGTACTAACCTGTCATCTGGGAAAATGATGAAGAAGAGTAAAACTTAAACTGCACTATTCTGGTGTAGTGTCAGCAAATTCTAAAATATGGACTACCTAACCACAAGTTTTTGGATATTGGAAATTCCTCAGAATTCTGGAAAGTAATCTTCACCTGTTGTTTCTGTTGCCACTCAGACTTCATAAGCTTGCTCTCCTTCTGTGGAACTTTGTTTAGCGTATAAAAAGCATCACCATGAGAAATTAGATAAACTTAATTCTAGAAAATATTTAACTTTTGTACCCTCCGCTGGCTCTGGAAACAGTAGCTCTTAAATCATTCTCTCTCATGAAGCCATTTACTTTTTCTACAGTGATTTGGAATTAGTAGTAGAGTACTTAAACAACAAACTCTTAAACCTTGAGGTCTCTTTAATACTGCCAACACTAATATAGTAATACTAATATAGTAATACTCTGTGATGCAGTTACTTTAAAGTGCAACTTACTTTGAAGTGAAAATTGAGTTGTATACACTGCTTGTCCAGTATTAATGCTGCCTCATTGTTTGTATCACAGGTGAGGAATATGAGGAAAAATTGAAACTAGAGGAGGAGAAAAGGGCTGCTGATGAAAAATACAGATACAAACGAAGACAGATCAAGGAACTTCAGGAAAATCTCCAGGTAAAATACAAGCAAAAATTCCGGTCAACAGACAAGGCTGCAGCATGTAGCTAAATCCATGCAAGCCATCCTATTGAAAGAATAGGAAATTCTGGGACAAGTTCTTGCCTGTTCTTTTATATCCTATGCTTTCTATGAATAGATGGATATGATTTTGTAGAAGGTTCTACCTCTTCTTTCAAAAATTGAGTGCTTATTTGAATTTTCTTGAATCACAATGGAACCTTCAGGCTTTTTAGTCACATTACAGCTAGAAGTTTCAAAATCCCAGATGCACATTGACAGATGCTCTGTTCTGGCACCCAGGAAAGCAGGTATGTTTTTGTGTAGCATGTACCACTACATTGTATCATCCTGTCCAGTACCGCAGAGATTACAATCCACACATCTTGCGTCCTCTGGCATGTCCCAGAATTTTTCTAGGAGAACATATTCTGTCTTATTAGCATTCAGGGTGCTTCAGTTTAAACAGCATTAATTTAGCTCAAGAAAGCTAGCTGACTCTTAACTTAGCAGGCTGAGCACTAAATGCAGGTAAAGGATGGCTTGTGTTCAGGCTCTACATCAAGGACTTACTCTTGGTTCCCCTTGTTATCAAAAAGCCTACTTGGCCCTTAAGAAAGAACAACGCTTAGCTCTGATGTGTGACGTTTTAGTTAAAGTTTTCTTAGGCAGAAGAAATCAAAGGCACCCTGTTCTAACCCACATGATTATTCTAAGCCCTGAGGCACTGGCCACAGGTCAACAAATGTTCCTATTGCTTATTCTACCACCGAAGAAATAACATCTCTGAAATTAAAGAAGAGGGACACACATCTTCATCAGGGCATAAGTCCTACATATAATGAGGTGTTAAGGCATACCCTTTTTATTTATTTATTTTTTTAAAAACAGAGCCACCCTTACGGAGCTGATTTTATTCATTCTAGTCAAAGGTATCCATCTCTTCCCGCAGGGAACAATGTTATTTTTCTTAGGATAGCTTGCACTGGTAAGTTGGTACTGTGCTGAGTAAGTCATTTGTAGTTACTGCTCAGAGGCACATCTGAAAAGACATACTTATAACTTCATTAATTACAGTAATTAAAATTACAGTAATTTTTTAAAGATACATAAATTACCTGGTGGTCTCTTTACCCAGGTATTTCTCCACTAAACAGTCTGACTGGCAGAAAGTTTTGAGTTGTTGTTATCATTAGTATTAATTGCTTGAGCTACATTTAGAAACAAGCAGTAGCACAATAACAGACCCTCCCACAACGTAATACAAGAAGTGAAAGGATATCAGAACTGCTTTATAAACTAAAACTGCTGTTCAAATGAATTTGCAGAGCATGGAAGAAAATTTTGATACAGTACTGAAGCAGGAGGCCCTCTTCCAAGAGCAAAAGAAGGAAAAACAAGCTCTTATTTTGCAGCTGAACAAAGACATAGAAGAACAGAAGCCAAAACTAGAAAGGGTTATAAAACAGGTGTGTAAATTCATTAATGACAACTTCTAACTCTACAGTGATAGACAGTAGTATGGTTAAAACCACAGAATTTAAACTTAGCAGGCTTCGGAAAGCGTTGCCTTTTCATAATAGCAATGCTTTAAAAATATTTGTGTTAAGTGTTCCAGACTATCCAGAGAGATTCAGTCTCTGAAGAAAACTAAATCAGAAACACAGGAAGAAAGAGACATTGATCTTCGTGAACTGAAAAGCTTCAACAGAACTATCGACAAATTGTTAGCTGATGTTCTAGAAGCAAATCCTGATTTAACTACACCCTTTCAAATGTACTTTTACCAGGTGAGCTTTCCAGGTAACTGCCACCAAACTCTTGATTGATGGCTCTAGTCTACTGCTGAGTGTCTTCCAAGGGCAACTCCTAAATTCAACAATAAACTATACTTATGGTAAAACAGCAGAAAGTGTTCATCTGCTTTCAACATCTCTTCAAATACAAAGGATTATAAACCCTCCTGATATACCCAGTCCTATTGCACAACCATTAGGTCAACTTTTTTTTTTCTTTCCAAATTTTCTAGTCCAATTTAGAGCTTCCTACAATCGCTTCTGCTGGTGGTAGTCAAAGTTCTCGATCACCATCCACACAAAGCTCAGTAGCTTCTACCAGGTAAGTGCTAGCAATGTTTTTTTTGGCTTTGTTGGGTTTCTCTTTTTTTCCCAAGTTAAAGCTTAAACCAGCAAAATTAGTCCCTAAATGACAGAATTCCTCACTCCTGAAGGTCGTCTCAATCTTGTCTCTACTTCCTGAACACTCTATAAAAACTTTCTCCTTATACTTTCCCACCTTTAAGTTTACTGGATTTTTCTAGCATACAATTAAGTTTACTTCTGCATCCATCACAGTTTAAAACTGTAATTACAGAATAATTACACTTACTTTTGCTAACTGTGCTCTAATTAAAAAGTGGCTTCGCATTATAAAAGCACAAGTTTGAGCTCCAGCCACACTTTGCACTTGGTAGCATGAGCTCCCTTTCCTAATTAAACAGGGAAGACAGACATGTATGCTTTTACCAATCCTTTTTTCCCCTGTTGAACTAATAGTGCATGTAACATGTTGCATCAGTTACAATCTGACAACATTCCCACAGGTTACTTCAGCTGTTAGTGGCAATGTCTACAATGATCTTTGTAGGGGATCTTACCTAGAAGAAACCCTGCTGCTGGGTGGCTCTACTGTAAGCCGCCATTAGACGCTCTATTTTACATATAGGGATTTCTGTACACCGATGAGTAAAATTTTGTCTTTCAGATCCTCCAGAAGCACAAGTTCAGGCTCCAGTCAGACGTCAGCACTCAAAGTCATAGATCTGAGCTTGCCTATCGCCACTCCTGCAGAAGCAGCTGCTGTTGGTTCACAGTCATCCAGCAGAGCTAGCACCTCTGATATTTATAAACGCAAAAAAAGTCTCAAGTAATGTTTTGAAGGCCACAGTAAAGGCTTAACGCTAGTTAAGGCTTCTTAATTGATTAATCTGTAACAACTTATTTATCAAGGTCTGTTGGCAATCTTAGCATTAATTTCTCTCAGAAATACATGTTTTAACTTTCTTCTACAGTATGCAATAATTTATCTAGGAGAAATGTTAAGCATGTGTTTTATATAATATAATAAAATCAACCTTTAAATTACTTTCTCGTTTTGCTGTTGGAGAACTAGAGATCTGCAAAACCCTTCAGAAGCCATCAATTCATTTTTCATAGAATGAAAAGGAGAGTTATGTTAAAGCCGTTACTTTTAGTGAACTGGTATCTTCACTGCTGTCAAAATAGTTCTAGATTACATTACAACAACCCAGGAAAGAAAATGTATGCTTCATTTCAAGATCAACCTTGACTATTAATCAAATAGTCATCTCAGATTAATCTTAATCAAAAAGATGACAGTAAATTATTAAAGTCAGAAAAAAATGTACTTTTTCTGTTTAAAATTACACAGTATCTTTTTTGCAACTACAAATTCTCTACAGAATTACTTGGAAAACTTGCAGCTGAAGTACAATTGGTATTTTATAGTCTGCCAGATGTTAGCTCCTTAGTGTGTTCTGCCAACCATCTTTGGAGAACTCATTGTAAATAGAGCGTAACTTTTTCCACAGCAATGCAACCACTGCCTTCAAGCTACTTGTAAAGCAAATACCTAACAACAAAAAAACCCAGACAAAAACCAAAGACCCACACTTGAACTTACCTAGACAATAAACACTGTTTTAAAATTCTCTCTTCTTCTACTTCTGTTGTGGTTTTGGGGTTTTTTTTTATACGTTTCTTAGAGAACGTGTTTGATGCGTTTAGAGAATGCAATACGCTTGCCTTCACAGACACTGGAGCGTTCCATTCACTTAAGCAGCATATATAACCAGTGCACCAGTATGAAACATCCCAGCGCCGTTAACAAGAATCAAGACACAGAATTAAGAAAACATTAAGAAAATTTAATGATCAAATGAGCTATATACATTGATGGCACATGACTGACTTTCTTTCAGTTATCCCCTTTCTATAGCTAGAAGCTAAGTTTGATACAAAAATAAGTCAATAGTACCCCAGGGGACCAAAAAAAACCAAACCCCAAACAAAAAAACATCTGTTGCTAAAGTGCATATTTGATGTGAGTTCCACAACTAACTACAGTCCAGGGGTATCAAAGGATTTCAACCCATCAGACAGAGAATACTGTACAGGAACATCCCAAGTTAAAAAGCACAGGAAACTTAAGATTTTAAATAGGAACTGGTATTTTATGTAAGATATCCTTGCACCTCTTTCTACCACACAATCTTTAAGAATTCTTTGACATTCTGCAAGACAGAACAAATTCTGCCTTTCTATCACTCTTCATATGCATTTCCTCAAGAGATAGATAAAAGTTCATTTAACTACGCTCATCAGAATAGCATTTTCTTAGGTACTTTACTGTTTCTTCTGCTTACTTCCTTTTTCCCTCTCAAATTCAGCTATTTGATTGAATATGTTAACTAAGTTCTGGGGCAGGTTTCTTTTAATGCCACCTTCTGTTTGTGCTGTACCATTTAAAGACATTTCCTCCTCTGGTTCCTTTGTTTTATTAGTCTCCTCATAACTTCTTTTCCTATTCTTATACTCGCTTTCATTTTTATGCTGGCTTAACACATGCCTATCACTATCGTAACTTTTATCACCTTCACGTAAGCAGGTGCTAGAATACAATCTGTACTTTCCCACTGACTTGCCAGAATAGTCAGACCCTGCTGGAGACGTATAACACCTGTCTTGACCTGAGCCATGTTTTTTAAACTGCTCTTTTCTCCCCTCTACGTCCCTTTCTAATTTCCTAAAATAATGCATCCTGGGTTCATCATCTGACTTACGGTATGAACCTGAAGCAGCCCTCCAACTGGAGAAAAATCTATCAGTTTTACCATATTTTTCAGTTTTGCTACTACTTGGCAGAATTCTGGAGCTACTGTAAGAATCTCTTGAATCTTCAGACCTACCTCCAAAAGTGTCTTCATCATCACCTGGAGTCCTCGAAAAAGAACAGTGTCTGTCTTTCTCTCTTACTTCTGTTTTTGGACACACTAAGCTGTCCTGCCTTTCCAGCAGTTTTTCCACTTCAAAATTTTGGTTAAGAAAGGAAGCAGAGGTATCAGCCGGAGGCGAATACCACTCCTCTTTCCTAATCTGATCTTTATAATGGGAAGAAGCTCTAGATGAGCATTTTTTGGAGCCGTGGGCAGACTCGGATCTATTCCGACGCTTTTTCCTACGTTTCTTGTGATCAGAGGAAGAGGAGGAAGAAGAAATTGATACATCTGATGAAGAATCACTTGATGATGATGAGGAGGAGGAGGAGGAGGAGGAGGAAGTCGATACTTTCCTTTTCTTCTTCAACCTAAAAAATGTAATTAACCTGTGAGATAATCTTCAGTATCAGGCAAAAATTATGTGTAGAAAGCAAATCTGTACTCCTCACAGTTTGGCTGAGATTGGACTGTAAGGCATGAATGGAAACTGAGCCTGACCTGGCAAGAGAATTTTGAATGTCATTTCTTTATCAGAAAATTAAGATTAAATCCAGCAAACAGGTTGTTATAAAAGGTATCTTTCCCAGTTTAATATGGCATTACACTTCGCAAACACTTCACACTGCAAAGTATTTTTTAAACAACTTCTCTTCCACATATATCTCCGTTAAAGGCTATATGCACTGAAGGACACTAACTAACCACAAAAAGATGCCGGAGGAAAAGTAGCTTACCCAGGTAGAAGTTCCACTAGCTTACTGTTGGACAATCTGTTTGGAAATGGATTGTTCATAGTCTTATCTGCATTTATTGCCACATAATCGGTATACTGAATATAACAAAGTTACCTTTTTTCTTCTTTTAAGAGCTTACGCAATTTCTCTGCACTTGTTTCTACTTTCTTTTCTTTCTGTCTCTCTTCTTTGGCAGCTTGTTTCTCCCTCATTTCCAAAGATTTCTTTTTTGAACCCAAGCATCATAAAAAAATTACATTAAAAGTAAGTGTTAACATGGGTATTTTTCCCCATGTCCCCAACCCCATTCAAATGTGTAATTACGCCAGGGATGTTTTACCGGGATTCCCAGATCAAGAATTAATATTGTTCAGGAGTTTGGCATTGGCCATTGCGATAATCAGGTTTACATTAAGGACCATATTGCCGTTTTTATTCCATTAAAAAATATTTGACCAGCCATTGCAGTGGTACCCGTGATCCAGCACACCGTGAAGCATGGAGCCCAAAAGGTATAGATAGAATATGCAAGCAAAACACAGTATTAGCAACATGGAGAAGAAAGAAAAAAAAAAAGGAGGTTTGAGGGAAAGTATCATTATTGTAGTTTACAAGTAAAACATGGCAGAACCCATTTTGAAATGTATTCCAGTTGGCCATGTTTGAATACAAACCGTTTTGTAACAATTTCACAGACCAGTTTGATGCATAGTTTACGTAAGAAATCATGTTCCAAGGGTTTGTTGGTGATGAGCAGCACCAGATGTCAGATACAGCAACAACGGTCCAATTCAGAAGAAAATGCATTGGAGAAAAACACATAATCAGTATTACAGGAAAACATACTTCGGTGTTGTTTCAGCCATTCTAGCACAACAGTGATAGTATCAGACTTACGTATTAAAATACATGTAAATGCAGAAAAGCATCTCATCAGATGAATAATCCTTGAAGATAAACTACTTAAATCTATTAGAGATCAGACTTCTGCCATCTACAGCCCTAAAGAGTAGCTCTATTCATATTCAGAGTGAGCAGAAAGTCTGATTATCATTTTCAAAACTTTACAACTGTCTTAACCGATACAATAAAGGAAACCCTTAACTACAGTTAAGGCTATGCAACCCAACAAACAGTAGCTAGCATTGTGGGGTTTTTTTATCTGCTGCATCAATGACCCATTATACCAGGAAAATGCTAAAGAGGAGTAAAATTTATCTCCTACTTGCTGAGAATATTATTCATTTTAACTGAGACTGACACCTTTTTCTAAAGCAGCCAAATGTGGATAGTGCTCAAATACCATACAACAGTTTATCTACGACGTAGTTCAGTTTTATTAAGAAGATTGTCATATCTCCTCTTCCCCCTTCTTTCAACACAGCCTGTCAGCATTATGGCTCCACCAACTGAAGAAGTGTTGATTAAGGCCATCTCCCCCAGTCTATGTACTTCCTTACATGCAGAAGCACAGAACAGAACAAGCCTGTTCCTCAGTGTTCTATTTTACTCTTTGATCCTCTCTGGAAGACAACACAAGTGAAGGAGATAAAAGAAAAAAGACGACAACTCAGATTAGCATAGAGACCCACCAGGCCTCACCTGGGAAACATGCTGCATGCAAGAGTCAAAAAAACCAGACAGCAGAGAAGAAAACTAAGATATTCAAAACTGCCTGCCCACCCACCCTCCACCTCCTTCTTCCTTTAAATCACCTCTTAACTTCCTCTCTCATGGGATCTTCCTGTGAGTTAGCTTTGGCTGGTGTTACTCTATCTTTTCGTAATTATTCCAAACGACAAGGATCTGGCCAGTACAATGGTGTGCAATGTTTATTTGGCTTCCCTAAGTGTTTTGACACTTCACATGTTTGTATTCACAGAATGTTTTAATTTAACATTATTAAGCACACTTGCGTGATGGAATATTCTTATCCTTGCTTTAGCTGACAGGGTTAACAGGCTTTGCTCTTTCCCTGTCTCCACTGTTTGGCATTTCTTTACTATCCTGTTCAAAACAGTGGAGTCATCAAGAGGTACCTTTCTTCTGGTAGGTACAGCCATAATGCTCACTGTAAAAGATTTACTGTGGAGAAGGGAAGCAGAGAATAAGACAAACTATCAACTTAAACTCTCCCTATTCAAAAGATTTAATATGATTTTTGATGTTCATTTATTGTCATTGAGAGCACTATATGAAGAGAAAGTAAAGAATCACCTGCATATGCTTACGGAGTTTTGTTAAGGCCTCTTCTGCTTCCTTAAAAGTCTCATCCAAACTTAAGGCTTTTTTATAGTAACTCTCAGCATTCAGTAGTTTGTCTTCCTCTTCCAACCTAAAATTCAAGTGATAATTCATATACAGTTAAGCCACAGATTTTGACAGTTTTCTCTTATTTTCAGGACTACTGTTCTTATTTGCACTATGACACCACCACTGCATCCGTCCAAGACCCTATCTGTCATCTTAGTCCACCTCAGTAAAGAAATAAAACAGTATTTCTGACATGTTATCTCCTAATCATCATCAGTAATACTATTCTTTGAAATTCCAATTTCAGTTTCAAAAATACTGTCTCTCTTTTCTTAACACAGGGCTTAAAAGAAATCTATTCCCTGAATATTCAAGAGTAAAATTTTGTGTTACAGTGGTTAACCAATATTTCAGTAGAGTAACAGAACATCATTTTGTTACAAATTCTTAAAAAAACCCAAAACAAACCAAAAACCAAACCCAACAAACCTATTGGAATATATTCAAACATTTCACAAGGCTTTATGCAAGCCTGGTAACCTACCAATGAAAGGATATCAAGGATTAAACATCAGATATTTTACCAGGATTTTAACTGGGACAGAGGAGAAAGTGTAAACCAACTGCACAAGCAGGTGTATTTCCATCAAAGACTTTTTTTTTTAAGCACATAGCCAGGAAGGAAAGATGCCATTCTGTGTCCTAACTAGGATGGATTTTAAAAAAATGTTATGAGAAAAATTGTTAACAACCAAACAAAAACACTTACTGCCCGCCTCTTTCCACAAGTGTCTGACAGAGGTATTTTCTTGCATTTCTATGGGTAGGACAGTTTTCTAAAGCAATTTCAAAATCACCTATGGCTTTGTTCAGACTTCCTTTTGTTGCATACCTAGAACAACAGAAAAGTTGGACGGATTTTAGCGATGTTTCTCTTTCACAAGGTAGAAAACCCAATGAAACAAGCAGACTTACAGAGCTCCTCGTGCTACCAAAGCTTCAACGTTTTGTGGATCAATTTCCAAAGCCTTGTTGTACTCGTTCATGGCTTCCACATGGCGCCCAACCTTAAAATAATCAACCCCAGCCTTCACACTGGAGAAAAATATTATGTACAGTTAGCCTATGCAGATTTTATACTGTTACTTACTCACAAATTATGGTTCCAAACAAGTGATAGGTAATAAAACTTGACCTTGTTATCACGTACTTAACACTAGCATTTCATATTAATGTGATATTGACATAATTCCATAACAATATATTGTCTTTAATCCAAAATCTTAAGGCACTAGAGAGCATTTCTGCAGATGGTGCTACTACATTACACTGTTTTTCATTTACAGAATGAATATTTAAGCACTTTTCTGCACAAAACTCTACGTGTGACCTACCACCATTAAACTGGAACAGGCTTAATTATATCCAAAGCTAAAAATCACCATTAGACCAACAACAGGAGGTGAGATGGGTAGATGGTACACACCGAAACCAGTTCTCCTCAAACTGGAATATTTTGAGGTTTTAGATTTCATATCACCTGAACCTTTCTTCTACATTTGCCAAGACATTAACTTATTGGAAGAGAACTGATGTGAGCTGAATTTCAGAACTTTTCTTTACTTTTTTTTTTTAAATCAAAATTTATATTTAACATCATAAGCAACTTTTTCTGCAATTAATCAAAGTTGCAAAACACTACTGTTTTAAGAAAAACACTGCGTTGTTAGCATAGAAACCCAGAAATGCTGAAGCTTCACTCCGATTTTTTTTTTTTTTCCACAAAAAAAAAAAAAAAAAAATCTACATTTTTAGGAGAAAAGTCTCTCTTACTTCTGCCTCCTCCACCCTGTAGCATGCCCAAATACAGTGCATAGCGTAAAAGCAATAGCAGCTATCCAGAGCTGCTGTTCCAAATGGAGCCGGGGAAACACATTTAACTTTTCAAAGACAGCAAGTGCACTTGTTAAATCTACAGTTTGAGGCTTAACTGGCATGACAAGCAGTATTAGGTCATTCAACACCCAACTATAAAATGGGTCACAAATCTTGCTCTCATCTGATCAATGAGCCAGCATATTATAAAAGTTTTAAGAAGCTCTCCCTTAAACCTGACACATATTTTGGAACTGAATCTCGAGACTTAATCTATCACATACCCACTCGGCAGTTAGCGTTACTTTCAAGAAGATCTTCCTGGTTACACCATTACACGTGTAGTATAAAAACCGGTTCAACGTTTATTTTCTTTTAATAAATATAACCTGTAACCTAATCTAACCTAACAATAAGCTCTGACAAGAAAAAGCACTGCATACCATTTCAAGGCCCAAGATGCAGATTGCTCTTTCCTCAATGCAGGGGCAAAATCTTCTTCATTGAAATTTTTACTTTAAGGAAAAATACAAACACACACATCAAGTTGGCCTTCTGAGTCTACAAAATTAAACTCACAGTATGTAATGCAGTTGAAATAAGCTGAAATATTATTTATACAACACCTTATTGCTCTCTCTCAGTCAGGAATGTTCTTTCGTATTTCTGAAACCAGTTTTTCCCAACCCATTCTAAAAGTGCTGAATTGAACTCATACAGCTGCAGTACATTTACCCAAAATATACCATGTTCACACCTGCTTTGGAGCCTAATATATACAGGGCTCACAACATCAATCCTTGCATATGTTTAAGCCTATTTCACTAAAGAGCTCAGATCTATTACTAAAATAAACATTGTGAATAAACATCTGACAGAAAATGTTAAAACTTAAACATCCTGCATTCCAATCCAAAGATCCAAGCAATAAATTGCTAACGTATTTGGTATCAAACATTTTGTGTGATAAGGTGTCTTGCTTATTCAGAGCAACAGAATTTCAAACGTAAATTTCTTACTCCAGAGGAGTTTGCTTTCAAATATTTAAAGACATAGAAGCTGCAGTCATGCAAATCAAAATGAAAAAGGTTTAAATATAAGTGGTCTAGGACTTCCACTCACAAGTCTATTTCAACGGATTAGAATAATCTCCACAAAGCTATAGGATAGGTACAATGAAAAAAATCACTTACATTTGAAGACTTCTCATCAAAGATGGTGGATTTGATTCACTTAGTCCTAGTTTTTCTGCTAAATATTCAACTAACGATGGATTAGCAAATCCTGGGGAACGATGCAAAACCTCTTCGAATGTCTCTGCTGTATTAGCAACTTCCATGCTTTGCCTTAAAAAAAGCACCAATGTACACAAACGCAACCTCACAGACACTATACTCAATTCTATGATGCTTACATTTAGAATAAAAACGCCTGTATTGATATCTATTACTGCTCAAGCTGTTCTCTTTTACAGGCATATATTTTCCTACTATTTAGCAACCCCTATATCCTTTAGCCTAAGCCAGCTTTTGAAACCTGTTTTTGGCACCCATCTACGTATCTCCAGGACATACAAAAACATTACAAAAATTGCAGAGATAGCTGTATCCTTCTGTCTTCTAACAGTAATTTTAAAGTTTTAAGAGTTTCATATTCCAGTCTCCCAAGGTTTTTGTTTCTCTTTTTTTTTTTTTTTTGGTTGTTTTTGGGGTTTTTTTTTTTTTGTTTTTTTTGGGGTTTTTGTTTGTTTGTTTTTGTTAACACAGTCCAACAGTGACAGATACCTCACTCTGCTTTTTGCTTTCCTTACATTTTGGGAAAGATGCTAAAAGACCAACCACACCTGACATATCCAGAAACAAGTACGTTAAAGAGAGAAACAACAAAAAGTATGTAATCATCCAGTTAAATCAGAAACACCATCAACAAGTTTAAAGAACTTGTCTGTCAAAGATGCTCTTCAGACACACCGAATACACCTAGCAAGTACAGCTGAGTAGCGTATTCTTACCTATAATGTAATGGGAAGTCATCGGAAGTAATTACGCCCAGTTTTGTACTGGAAAGATTGGGCGGAAGAGCTGAGCTGTAAAGCGACACCGTGAGCTTCTCGTGGTAACGATCAACGTCCTTGATTGCAGCTATAGAAACAATAAAAGTTAATATTACAGAAATGTCTCAAAACGGAAACAAACAGATTCCTGACAACTTTTGCAGCTACTTGCCTTGAATAAGGTCTCCAGTTTGATAATAAGATAAAGGATCTCCATGGTTGCTTTGAGAAGGCACATCTCTCAAAGGACAAAGAGCCTGCAATAGAAAAAACGTAGGAATATCATAAACAAAGCCAAAAGTTTTGGATTTTTTTTTTTCCCCAAGATTAAGCTAGAAGCTTAGTTTAATCTTAACGCACATCAGAGCCGCAATAGTTAAAAATCATGACTTGGCTCAAATAAAAATTTATGCATCCATAAACGATGAGCTTTTCAACTCAAAAGTAATAAATATTGAGTGTGGGTCATAAAAAGAAGTGTTTGCTGACTCAGGAAAGCATCATAAGCTGTCCACAAATTCAGCTACCACCCACCATCCCAAAGTTCAGTTTCCATTAAGAGATGCAAGAGACAACAAATACATTGAAAAGTTACTACTTATCCAGAATAAAATATTGATCAAAGATATATCTTACAGTGATTTCTAAATCCGAAATCTCCCGTATGAAACCACTTCCCAGACAAATCAACACCATGAAAAAGCCAAATTCACGAATAGAAGTAATCCTCCCAATCACGATATCACCACGTTCGATGTCTCGAAAAAATAATTCTCTCCTGTCTTCCCTGGGAACCTCCATGAACCGTTCCAGGGGAGGCATAACAGCATAATACTCTGCAACACGTGAGAAATTCACAGTTACGAAACGACCAAGCTACAGCCTGAAAACACAAAATGCTTCACGCTAGCAGAACACGTTAAAATCTGATTTGCACTAACAGGAAGCTTACGCACAGCCTATAAAGAGCAATAGCAAAATCTCCACCTTGTTGTTAAAAACACTGCTAATTTACGTGCAGTGTCCTTACACTACCCCGCGGCCGTCACAGAGCAACACCTTTCCGGAGAAGCGGCGGCTCCCCCGTGAGCAGGCTCACCCTCATTTTCTTCAATCGTGTCGGAGAGAGGCCCGTTGGGTTTCCACGAGTGAGCAAAAAGGAGATCGGCTTTTTTGGCAATGAAGCGCTTGATCTCGGTGTCAATGCTCGCCCTCTCTTTCCTAGAGGAAGGAGAACTCGGTGAGAAACACCCCGCGGCCCCCTCACGGCTCGCTCGCTCGCTCGCCTCGACCGCACCGCCTCGGCACCCCTCACCAGGCGGCCGGCGGGGGCGGGGCCCCGCGGGGCGGCGCGGGGGG